GTCCTGATACCTTCTTTGCGAAGAATTTTGCCAATCCTATCAGTGACATTTCGAATATACGGAAGAAAAGCCACAGGAGTATTACCCGAAGATTCTGAATTTGTCGTCCTAGGGTGTAAAGGGGGATGTAGATGTCGGTGTGTAATATTTTGAATTGTGGACTTGGAGTAACCGTTGGCGACTAGGGTTTTTTGCAGATGGCCAAGTTCTTCTCTAAGGTTGTCGGGTTCAGAAATCGAAATGGCCCGATGGATGAGAGAGTTGATCACAGAATTCTTTTGGGCAGGATGGTGGTGTGATGAAGCATGTAGGTCACGATTCGTGTGAGTCTTTTTTCTATAAGATCTTGCGGAAAAATGCCTCCTTTCAACATATTTTTCTTTTAGAGGCAATTTCTACAAACAAATATCTGGAACACCAATGGGTTCTCCCCTTTCCCCTGTCATTGCTGACATTTTCATGGAAGCCTTTGAGTCTTTAGCCCTAGAATCTTACCCCTTAAAACCAAAAGTCTGGTTCCGCTACGTTGATGATACATTTATCATCTGGCCCCATGGTCAACATACCCTTTCTCCCTTCCTAGATCATCTTAACTCACAACATCCGAGTATAAAATTCACAATGGAAGTAGAAAATAATCGGTCCCTTCCTTTTCTCGATGTGTTAGTCACCTCCAAGCCCAATGGCCGATTGGGTCACTCTGTTTATAGAAAAAAGACTCACACGAATCGTTACCTACATGCTTCATCACACCACCATCCTGCCCAAAAGAATTCTGTGATCAACTCTCTCATCCATCGGGCCATTTCGATTTCTGAACCCGACAACCTTAGAGAAGAACTTGGCCATCTGCAAAAAACCCTTGTCGCCAACGGTTACTCAAAGTCCACAATTCAAAATATTACACACCGACATCTAATCTTGTCTCCCATCTGGAATCTCAGTCTAGAACCGCCGTCCGGTCAAGCCACCACGATGCAGCCACATGATTGGCCAGCGCGCGCTTCTTGACGTTCGCGCTACGAAGTGTGCCGATACGTCCCGACGCGACAGGCACCGCGACTATAAATAGAGCGGTAGCGGAGTAATCGTCGGATTCACTCCCCGCCTCTCGACGCGTTAGTGTTCTGAGCTGTTGGACGTGAATCCCTGTCCTGGCATTTGGTTTTCACCTCTGGCTGCGTTGAGTAGTTGAGTTACTGTGACCAAATGCCCATCTTGGTAGTTAGTATTCGCCTCTGGTTGCGTTGAGTAACTGACTTACCGTTGCTAACTACCCATCTTCCTGTTCTTTGTTTTCTTCTTTCTTTCTTTTCCTTTTTTTGTTCTCCTGAAGAAGCTACATACAATTGTAGCGAAACGTCGAGATGAACCCACTTTTGGGTCACTCACAAATGACACGGTCCAAACCCGGAAGACGAATAAACTATAAATTATACGTCTATGGATTCGTTTCAGTTACCTTTTAAAAAAAATTTTTTTGACAGGTCATCTAAAGACACGACACTGTGTTGTACCTTTGTGCACATTATGTTGTACCTGTGGTCAGAAAACAAATTATCTTCGATTAAGAAGAAACAACACAAACGAACGGAATATTATTTATTACCTACATGAATTATTAGATGACAAACTTGATTACTTTACATTGTATGTATCAATGTCTGGCGAAGGCAATTTTTTTATTATGTCGCCTTCGGAGACACAAGAGACTTACTCATCTGAATAGACAAATTTATTGTTTCCAATAACTGTTTTTAAATATTTGACCATGTATTTGTCATCTAAAACCTCAACTATCTTGACAACATAGTGTGCAATGTACTTTTTACTGGCAAATTTTACGAGAACAAAATCACTTTCTTTTAACTTAGAAGAGCTCAGTATTTCTTCACTTTCCTGTTGCCCTAATGAATAATTTTCATTTTCGTTAGCCAGAAAAGTTTCTAAATCCTTGTCACTTGAATCCTTTGTTATATTTTTCATCTCTTCATCAGATCCATCTGAACTATCGCAAAGAACCTTCCTTTTGACTGACTTTTTTTCACCTTACTTTGCAATAGTTTCTCTTTCTCCAGGGTGTCTGTCAAAATTCTTGTTTTACTACGCTTTCGTCCCTTTTGAGATGTCTTGCGAGCTACGGCTTTGGGGAATGGGCGCACTACAAACAGGCTTTTGAAGTCAGCGTTATTTACCTTGAAGTCATTAGACTGCAGTGGAAGTGCTGGTGTCAAGTTTGATGTTGATGGATTTGCAGATAGTTTAAGGCTTGCAGGGGCTAATGTTTGCAGGGGTAAATGCTTTTGCAAATGCCTTGCCTACGAGTTTAACTACGTCATACAAGCTTTTAGGACGTCCAGGAAGGGTCATCGTCTACTCATTAGCTATAGTGTTGTAGTAGGTTTTGTGTGGTCCAAAAACAGTCCTTACTATTTAAATGGGAATAAGCCACAACTAAAGTAAAAATACGTTTATTGACGTTTTAATTTCCACTTCGGAAATCGTTCTCAAAATACAAACATTAGCTTCAGAACAATACTAAAAAATAGTCCTGTCAAGAGGTTGAATTCTGTGCGAGGTGTGTGGCGGCAACATTAATAGCACAATATTATTTTCCTTCGCCAAATCAATCACGGAAACTGTAATATGGGACTCGTGATTATCGAGTATTAGTAGCACTTTTTCTTGCTCTCTCGGCTTAACGTTGGCTATAAAATGCTGCAAGTAGTGTAATAAAAGCTTTTCGTTTGACCATGGATTTGCGCCTCCAATTGAACCCGGTGATGCACCATGTAATATGTGGTCCTTGAAAAAACACGCGAGGGAATATCAACATGGGCGGCACATGGTTACCGATGGCATTAATAGCAGCAATCAAAGTTACATTGATCCCTCTTTCTCCGGATGTCATATTTCCCAGTTGTTTTACACCTTTTAAGGCTATTATCTTAGGTGGGGCATGGACTGAAGAATTCCCGGTTTCATCGAAATTGTAGATATTGGCAGGGGAAAACTTATAGCGTGACATTACTGTTTTAAGATTGTTGAAAAAAGCTTGGATAGTTTCTTTGTTAAAACTGGTTGACCTTGCCAGGCTTGTAGCCTCGGGTTTCCTTAACGACAATGAGGGATGCCGATTAATGAAGTGTCTAAAGACAGTTTTACATTATGCTATTTTTATGCTAGGCAAGAGCCATGCAAGACAGATCATGGAAATGCGCATGCCCACGGGCTATTTCCATGCAATTCCTGTGCTAGACGAAAAATTAGAACATGTTCTATTTTTCATGCAATTGTCTTGCAATTTATCGTTAAAATTCATGTTGCCAACATAACAATTTATAATAGATTACAGAATAAAACATAACCTTATCTCTATATCTTTAGCCCCTTTAGCCCACGTGTGTATTGTTGTGTTTTGATTTAAATTAAGTTTATTAAGTGGTGATAAATAGATATACTATGTCTAAAGTTAATGTAAAAACGACTGGGTGAGTCGTTGACTATGGATGATTGTTGCTACAACAGCAATATTCAACAATAACAATGTTTTCTTTTCTTTGGTTGATATCCTTCACCCTTTTAATAACCATAAATAGTGTATATTTATTTATTATATTATTTATTTTAGTACTTAATTATATTTTTTGTTTAAAATAAAATAACCTCAAATTGATAAATATTTTCTCTGTTGGCAATAATGAAAGTGGAGATCTAAAATTGCACAGAAATATCTCTGATGTAAAAAGGTCAAGCTAGGCAAGAGATGTGCCATGCAAGACGGACTTGCATACCATGAGACTTGCATAGCCTATAAAGCTGCCTTTAGCCATTCTTTGCCTTCGGTTGCATTTGAAGTCCAATTGTCGGCTGTTTTAATCTTGTTTTCACGTGCGTATTGAAATGCTAAGATTCTTGTATCTTTTTTTGTGAGTCCATAATGAAGCGACGCTGCCTGTGTCAAGTACTGCTTTAACTGTGACTCTTGTTCAAGTAAAAACACCTTTTTAACATCGTTGTTTGCGTTGTATTCGAATGTAGGACGTTCGGAGTTTACTTGAATTCGAATATGATTAGATATGTTTGATCGACAAATATCATATTTTATGGCAGCTTGTCGTTTGGTGTCAGTTTACTTGTTTTTTAAGTAAAAAAATTAAAGTTCAATTTTGTAGAGTTTATTCAGACGAGTGCAGTGAGGTTAATAAATCACATGAGCGATAAAAATTGCCTTAATGCCGCGGTGCATATTAAAGCAAAGAGACCACTGAGCTTCCTCTGATTTGAAAATTATTTATTGCCTATGCATATGCATAAAACACACGTCAGTGCCGATTTCGCCTTACTTTAGTGTCTACTTCCAGTGAAATTACAGATAAATTAGAAAAAGTAAAATGTTTTGTCTTGTTGTACCTTTGGCCATTGCCAGTTGTACCTCTGGCCAGGCCAAAGGTACAACAAACGTAATGTCCCAAGGTACAACAATGTTTACAACTACCAAAACACATTAATTTTTTAAGGTTATGTTAACTTTATGGATTGGTGAACACAAGTTTTAAATAGCAAACATAGTATATTTCTTACCTGGGAAATTATAAATGAAACCAGCCACAACTTTGTAACACACCGACTCTTTATGTTCTCGCTAATTATTTACTTTTAACACAAAAAATTCACAAGCCTGACTAAATTCCAAAGTCTTTATATTTATGAAGCGAAACTATTGTACCGACCTCAAGTGGTCAATAGCAGAACGTTAAAGCAAAAATTCTTTCCAACACGGAGAAAACAACAATTTTAACGACAGTGTCTATCACATATCGTTATTAGTGGTCTGTGGTGTCCTTAGGTACAACACTCTCTCGTATGACTTTTGAATCTGTAGTTCATCTTCTGTTTGAACGTATTATTTTTCGTGCTTAGTCAAAATTGTTTCCCATTTTAAATTATAATAACCTAGTTGATATGTGAAAGTTATTTTAAATTATTTTTAATTTTAGATTCTATTAATGAGTGAAGAAATCCTATCAACAGATCTAGATTTTCTTTTAAGATTCCCTATCAAACCGCATGTAACAAGTCCTGTGGATTTCCTTTCTAACACGAGTTGGGGAGGAATTTGCAGCCTTGCCACAAAAGACGAGTTCAGAAACCTTGACAGAGATATTGAGATGTCCCCAAAGCGATGGAAAAAATTGGTAGAATGTGAAAGTCCAGAAAGAGAAAAATTTCCCCAAGAATGGAAAAGCAAAACAGCCTTGCAAAGATTATGTATGATGAGAGCTTTACGGCCTGATAGAATGATATATGCAATGATGTAAGTGGTGATATTTAACAAATAATAGATATTGCTAACTATTTTTTATTAATTACTATTTAACTGGGAATAAGCCACAATTAAAGGTTAAAGTACGTTTATTGACGTTTCAATTTCCACTTCGGAAATCGTTCTCAAAATACATTTCAATATAATAATATATAATATCATAATATAATTAATTCTATACAAATCATTCTCAAAATACAATCGTTTTGTATTTTGAGAACGATTTCCGAATTGGAAATTGAAACGTCAATAAACGTATTTTAACCTTTAATTGTGGCTTATTCCCAGTTAAATAGTAATTCATTTAAAATGCCACAAGAAAATAGCTTCAGAATAATATTAACTATTTTTTAATCAATTGGTAAAATATTTAAAAAGTCTTAGTGGCATAGGGGATAAGTGGTGAAAATATACAAAAATATACAGAGTAGCCCAACTTAGAGTAAAACGGTTATACGGTTAAATATTTTTTAATGTAATTTTATTCGACTTTATTTTTAAAATCTACTAAAAAAATGTATCCTTAGGACGTTCTCTATTAACCACTGAAATGCGTCTTATCGATGATTAGAACTTCCTTACCCAGTCCGTTCTGCATATAGACTAGGCGGCATCTGTAGAAATTCAGACCATAATGGAAATTTTCGAGGGAAGCTATTTTTTTGCTGGAATCCCTTCAGGATATGCCCAGTATCGATAATCACGATATGCGCCAGTCGCAAACCCTGTGCTAAATTTTTTATTTAACAAAATCTGAAAACAATTGAAAATTTCTCATTTTTTTGCTCCTATTTTCATTTATAATTCGAAAAATATTGATCTTAGAGAAAAAATTATAAGTAGTTAAAAGTTTCGTTATTAAATTTTACACAATATTTTGTTAGCTAGAAATTGAAAATTTAATGGTTATTGTTGAAAAAATAGCAATAATTGGAAAAAAAGTACAAAAAAATGAAGTTAATCCTTTAAATGTTTTCGACTTTCTAAACTTGACTTACAAGTTCCATATTCCGCCTAGAAAAACTTTTTAATATGTTTAAAACGTGTGCTAAATTTTGTTAAGATCGGTCGGATAGGTTTTGCATAATAATTTTGCAATCCAGCCTACTGGAAAAAAATCGCAAATTTTCAAATTCATAGTAGGCCCTAAATAAGGCCCTCAGATAGTTGCAATTTTTTTTACATATAAAGGAAGTCTCACACTTTCAAACGCTTTTTGTAAAATTCAAATCGGTTTACTAGGAAAGCCTATAAATTTTTTTAAAGTTATAAACATTTTTTAGGCTTATAAACAAATTAAATAACTTTACGAGCTTTAAACATATCAATTTCAAAATGTATACACTTAAAGAACATTAAAAGACGCTTCTTTTAAAAAACAAAAAGATACATTCGGCTTACTGGTTGCCGAGATATTGAAGGTCAAAGTTGGCATACATTTGCCGTGTAACCATAAGTGATAGAGGGCTCGTTTTTAAACAAATACCCTCGTCTTGTCAAATACTTTTTATATGAAAAGTTTTACGTAATGCGCTTTATGGCAATATCCATAAAAAAGACAAATAAAAAACCGTTTTCGCGTAATATGTCGCTCGGAATGCATGAGAGGTGGTGATGAGGGACATTCACTTCAAATGTGAATCGGCGAGTATCAAGTATATATTAGCCTCAGATAACAAGCCAGTTTTTATAATTGCAGAGGATATTGATGTTCTGGTAATATTTTTACAAAAAGTAACTGAAAATAAAAATATTTTTTTCTGGAAACCTAGCAAAGGAAAAAAATCGGAAGAAATTTATTACTACAACTCTTTCAATAATGCACTTAAAATAAGTGAATCTACGAAATCTTCGTTAAAAAATTTAGTGGGCTTTTTACACGCATTTTCTGGTTGTGATACAACCTCTGCATTTTTTTATCAAGGAAAAAGCAAAATTGTTAAATTGGTTTCAACAAATAATTATATATGGCAAGAAGCAACCATTTTTAATGAAAAAAGTGCAACTAAGGAAGAAATTAAACGCAGCGGATGCAAAATTATATCGGCATTGTATATGGGCCACTCAAAGTGCGATTTTACATTGAATAAAATTCGCTACTTGTGCTTTAAAAAAGGTTGCAAAAATAAAAATTTTCAATTGTCCATGCTGCCACCTACACAATCTGCAGCTGAGCAACACTCGCTTCGTGTATATTTCCAAGTACAGCAGTGGCTTGGAAATAACCTGAATGCTACTGAGTGGGGGTGGGAACTAACTCAAAATGGTCTTGAGCCAATACAAACTGAGCAAGTATTACTACCTGACTCATTATTCAGAAATATTAGTTGCAAATGTAAAAAACTTTGTACAAAAACATGCAGTTGTATCAAACATGGTCTCAAATGTTCTGACTATTGTCTTCACTGCAATGGTCAAACATGTAAAAATATTGATCACAATAAAATATTGGAAGAAGTTGAACGAGATATGGATATGGAGTCGATGGATTCCTTAGATTTTTTGGAGGCACAAGATATAGCTACAGATGAAGGAGAAGAAACATTAAATTTACAGATCGAGGATGAAGATATTGAAATGGAAAATGAAGGTTTTGAGGAAGAAATAAAACCTGAAGATTCTTGTCCTTCCAGAAAAAGAAAAAGACTTAAAAAAAATTATTGAAGATTGAGTCAAAATAAAGATTATTTATGAAAAGAAAATTTTTGTTTCATTCGCCTTTGTTTTAACAATTTAAATTATTTATTAACAATTTATAAATACATATTTGTTTACTAAAAGTAACAATTTACTTCAATGTATAAATTGCAAGCTCAAAAAAAAACAATTTCGAGCATTACACAGCAGTATAATAACACGTCAATATACAATATACACGTCACTTTCGAATCAAAATATATTCTCAAATCAAATAATGTCATTATTATGATAAAACTGCAGAAATAAATTATTTTTAATGTTAATTATTTTAAAATGTTTGATTTTTACAAAAAAAATTTCCTTCGTTTTAACAATTCAAATTATTTATTAACAATTTATAAATACATATTTGTTTACTAAAAGTAACAATTTACTTTACAAGCCCTTACAGATTTTGGAGCACTTTACTTTTGTTTATATTTCAAAACCCGAAATTAAACAAAGTGATGGTCCCCTACTTGATACTCGCTGATTCACATTTGAAGTGAATGTCCCTCACCACCACCTCTCATGGATTCCGAGCGACATTTTACGCGAAAACGGTTTTTTATTTGTCTTTTTTATGGATGTTGCCATGAAGCGCATTACGTAAAACTTTTCATATAAAAAGTATTTGGCAAGACGAGGGTATTTGTTTAAAAACGAGCCCTCTATCACTTATGGTTACACGGCAAATGTATACCAATTTTGACCTTCAATATCTCGGCAACCAGTAAGCCGAATGTATCTTTTTGTTTCTTAAAAGAAGCGTCTTTTAATGTTCTTTAAGTGTATACATTTTGAAATTGATATGTTTAAAGCTCGTAAAGTTATTTAATTTGTTTATAAGCCTAAAAAATGTTTATAATTTAAAAAAAAATTATAGGCTTTCCTAGTAAACCGATTTGAATTTTACAAAAAGCGTTTGAAAGTGTGAGACTTCCTTTATATGTAAAAAAAATTGCAACTATCTGAAGGCCTTATTTAGGGCCTACTATGAATTTGAAAATTTGCGATTTTTTTCCAGTAGGCTGGATTGCAAAATTATTATGCAAAACCTATCCGACCGATCTTAACAAAATTTAGCACACGTTTTAAACATATTAAAAAGTTTTTCTAGGCGGAATATGGAACTTGTAAGTCAAGTTTAGAAAGTCGAAAACATTTAAAGGATTAACTTCATTTTTTTGTACTTTTTTTTCCAATTATTGCTATTTTTTCAACAATAACCATTAAATTTTCAATTTCTAGCTAACAAAATATTGTGTAAAATTTAATAACGAAACTTTTAACTACTTATAATTTTTTCTCTAAGATCAATATTTTTCGAATTATAAATGAAAATAGGAGCAAAAAAATGAGAAATTTTCAATTGTTTTCAGATTTTGTTAAATAAAAAATTTAGCACAGGGTTTGCGACTGGCGCATATCGTGATTATCGATACTGGGCATATCCTGAAGGGATTCCAGCAAAAAAATAGCTTCCCTCGAAAATTTCCAATCCAAAACAGATCCCGCCTAGACTAATAGATTCCTACTCAGGATAGACCTCATCTGTACAGTCTTCGACCAGGTTGGACGGCTGGTACTAGTGGCGCACCTAGATCTTTCCCGATGGGGATAAAAGTCCTTAAAATTTGGGCTTTAGTTTAATTTACACTCCCTTTTCTTATCTAAATCTTTTTTCTGTAGTTGATCCGGTTGGTGTTTCTCTTCTTCTTTCTTTTTAATTACTAGTTCGGATATAATTGAGAACACTACTCCATCCCTCCTTACTTCCCGCCATCTTTACTATCATCTCTCTCACAGTCACAGGTTCATACCTATTTCTCTATACATTCTGTTTTTCTCCACTGTACATATAACACTCCGGCACTTTGTGAGTAACAGTGTCAGAATATTCGCAGTATAGGCATTTATCTGTATCTGTCTTTCTGAACCTATGAAGATGCGCCCTAAAACAGACAATCTACCCAGTTCCTTAGGCTCGGGATCAGCATCTTGGTCCACTGGACAACATCTTTCCTGTTGTTCCACTTTCCTTGCCATCTTTCCATTGATCTTTCCCTTTCTTCTTTTTTATGGCTGTTGTCAAATGCTCCCTTCTCTCTTAGATATGTCTCCTTTCTACTGCTAATACTTGCAGTCCTGCAGGAGAATGCTACTTACAACAGACTCGTTCTGTCTACTATTATCATGAGCCTAATATTAGGTATCTGTATCTAAATATAATGAGAAATATTAATTTAAATCCTAAACTGTATTTTGAACAATAATTTGTAAACAAATTTAATTTATAATAAAAAATGTCTAAACGGCGTTGCTTTAGAGCCATATGGGTTATTACCTCTTCTTCATTATTTGAATATCCTGATGGATAAACATCAAAGCTAAACCATTTAGTCTCTCTTCGCTAATACAATTTCTTAAGTCTTTAGTACTTTCAGCGATGAAAATAGCCTTCCACGTGTACCTGCAGGTCGTTACAGGTAAAAAACAAGTTACATTTTCCTACTATTCTTTAAATAAAAAAAAAACAATAAAATCGTCTGTTGAACATTTTTATCTAGAATGCGTAGCTTTTTCACAATATTGAAATGAATTAAAAAAGTACCATTTTTTTGCTGAAATGTCATAACGTAGTTTCGATAGCCACGAGATAATCCCTTTCTATCGACATACCTCAGATATTCCAGTTAAAAAATAGCGCCCAGTAATTTTTCGATTTTTCAACTAATGTTTAGGCTTCGTTTCATGGGATAATGAAACGAAGAAATGAAACATATAGCTATAAACAGCTTATAAATTTTTTAATTTAAATATTTATTTCCTTGAATAAAAAAATAAAAAAAACAGTATTACTGTAAAATCTCTCTTAAGCGAAATAATTGGGGGAAGGCCGTTTCGGATAACAAGAATTTCGGTTAAAAATAACATTGTTTTTGTATTGTTCTTGTATCAAATTACATAGTACTCTTGGTCAAAGTTGGTATTAAAAATACTAAATACAGAATAAATGTAAATGTAAATAAAATACAGAATAAAGTAATAAATAAGGAAAATTAACATGTTCATGTTTTTTTTTTAAGAAATCGTCTATTTTCGTTTGTGTTTTCTTTGAATACGATGTTTTGCAGCTATATCTCTCCATCGTTTCATTTGCAGAACGTCATGCAGTTTTGCCTCATTAGATTGTTCGACGAAACGTAAAGCAATCTGAAAAGGACAAAACGTTATACCATGACAACAAAAATTATGAACCTAGCAGTGTCCCTAACTAATTAGACCTACTGTATAAAATTCTTACCTGTAAGCACTGAAAATCTCGTCGGCGTTGTGCTGCCTGTCGTCTGCTGGGTCGTCATCTTCGTCGTCTGATACGCTCAGGTTGTCTGGATGAAGAACCATATCAATAATGTCTTCGTCGATGAATTCACTTTCTGAGTCATCGGCTGCTAACCACTCACGTATCTCTTCTTGATAATTTCGTCACATCCTGGCAAATTTCTTATAAAGGTTCAATTTCTTTCTTTTTTTCACATTTTCTTCTTCAGGATCGTCAATCAAAATACCATCAAAAAGTTTGTTCCAGCATGTTTCCAATGTTGAAGATTTGATCTTGGCCCATGACTCAACACACCAATAAACAACATTTTTCATTGTTAAAGATTTAAGAATTTCAGGAACGCTTTTGGATTCATTCGTCTCCTGTTATAACAGATGCCTTAAAAATGCTTCTCTATAATGTCTTTTGAATATCTATATTACTGCCTGGTCTAACGGCTGAATTAAGCTGGTGACACTCGGTGGCAAAAATCTGACAATTATGTCACCATTTTGTAGGTTTTGAGGGTGAGTTGGCGCATTGTCAACAAGCAACAATGCTTTAATGGGAAGATTTTTTGATTTTAAAAAGGATTTTACACTTGGGACAAATTCATTTTCGAACCATTCTGAGAACAAAGTGGTCGACATCCATGAGCTTTATTGGCTTCTATAAAACACTGGAAGTGCTTTTTCTGAAACATCTTTTAGAGCTCTTGGTTTTTTGGATTTCCCAACACACATAGGCCTCAATCCGTGAGTTTCTGCTACATTGCTACAAAACAGAACTAATATGCCATCGCCCGTCATATCGGATAACATTTTTGCCTTCTTTTGAATTATTGGTCCAGATAATGCTACTCCTTTGATTCCTTGTTGTGTGAACCACAAATAGACAGCTTCACTTATCTTCTCATTTTGACTTAGTTTTATAGTTTTTTTGTTTGGCATTTTCGAAGCATGTTCCTCAAATTTGCTTTTCATTTTAACCATCCGGAAACTGTAGAAACGCCAACGCCAAAATCTCTTGCGACTGTTCGTAAAATCTCTCCATTTTGAATCCTCCGGATAGCCTCTAATTTCAGTTCAATCGCAATTACTACATGTTTCATTTTATTCATTTTTATACAAGGCACACAACAGACGATTTAATTAAATTAAAATTAAATTAAAACACAAACAAGTATGATACTGAATTAAAGAAAAGACTGAGGAATGAGATACGGCCGTCTGCACTCTAAATATGTCATAACAGTGAGACAGTGAGTAATTAATACTGATACAACACATAATTAAATAACTACAGTAATAAAAAACATGTTTTGTATATTTAATTGCATTCTTTAGTTGTATGAAAGCAATGCTGACGAGGTTTTTTCATTTTGCGATAAAAATTTTTGTTGTATTGACGAAATTATTGAAACTTACATGGGCGAAGCTTAAGAATAGACAAGGTAGACATTGTCTACCCAAATAGAAAAATCCCCAGAATATTTTTAGAAATGTCTTTAAAAATAATTAATATTAGCCAAACGTACTAAAAGCCTGCACTATTATTACAGAAAAATTAAAACTAAACTGAACAAATTCTAAACCTAGGACGAAAAATTTTTAGCTATATGGTGCGTATACTATAAAGACAATACAATATTATTTGTCTAATATATAAATTAAATCCTTGATATGTGTCGCGCGGGTTTTCAATAATATTTATTTGATTTATTGGAGAATGCTTTAGAAGGGTAGGCGCAAAATTTCGGGCCAATGCTTTTTAAATGCAATCATTTTTTTCGAATCCTGAGAAAACTAATACGTATTTTTGAAAAATTTAAACGCAGAATGAAAGATTAAATTATTACTAAGAGTCGAAAGTCCCTGAAAACTGCTATGTTTATTTTAGTAAGTTACAGGGGTGAAAAAGAAGAGAAAATTAAATGTGATTTTTAATTTCAAATATCTCATTCAAAAAAACTTTTTGTTTATTCTAATGGACTTTCGGCCCTCGGTAATAATGTAATCTTTTACTCTGCGTTTAATTTTTCAAAAATATTTAATAGTTTTTTCAGGATTCGAAAAAAATAATGCATTTAAAAAGCATTGGCCCGAAATTTTGCGCCTACGCTCTTAATGCTATGACGACTTGTGGAAATCTTATTTAATTTTTTTACTCGTCTCGGACAGGTGATTTAAGAGCGTTCAATAGATCTATTTCCTTTTTTAAATAGTTTATCATGGATTCAGTTGATTTCGACCCCGTCGTGTTTTTAAAAGAGAATTAATTTGTTTTCGGCGCTTAACTTAGAAGATAAAATTAAATTGAAAAAATAGTCAAAAACGACCTAAATTAAGTTTATCACAAAAATATAGAAAAACAACAAGACATTTCAATCATAAATGGTATGAGAAGTTTACATGGCTTTGCGGCAGCGAAACTGAAAATAAATTATATTGTTTTCCTTGTCTGTTATTTGGAGACGATTCATCTTGGACTGGAAGTGGAATAGATACTATAAAAAATTTTGTGGACAAAGCTAGCAGACACGCTACCTTAAAAAATCATATTTCGTCGCATGAAATGTTCCATTTGTTGGGAAAAGTTCGAATAGATTATGCAATTGACCACGGAAAAAAAATTGATGCCCAACGTCACAACGAGCGTGTTGTTAAAAATCGCAAAATTGTCGGTCGTTTAATAGATGTAGTTCGTTTTTTGGCTTGTCAAGAATTAGCTTTACGAGGACATGATGAAACTGGTACATCAAAAAATAAAGGTTAGTAGAAGTTACTAAATTTTAATCACATTACTATTGCAAAAATATATTTTATTATAAAATACTCTCAACTCTAGAATTTTCATGAACTATATTTGATATATTTGTAGGAAATTATTTGGAACTGTTAGATCTACTTGCTCTGGAAGAATCTAATATGCGTGATCACTTAGAAGCCAGTAACGTTTTTAAAGACACATCCAGCGAAATTCAAAATCAGTTGATAGAATCGGTGGAATGTATTATCAGACAGAAAAGTTTTAAAGATTTGCAAGAAGCGGACTTTATATCTGTTCAGGGTGATGAAACAACTGATGTATCCTGCAAATCCCAGTTTAGTGTAATATTAAGGTATGTGTGTGTACAGAAAAGACATACGTGAAAAATTTATGGGATTTTATGACGTGTCTAGTGATAAAACAGCAAATGGTCTTGCAGAAAAAATTATTCACGTTTTACATTCCAACGAGATAAAAAATGATAAATTAATATGCCAAACATATGATGCACCTCTCTTTGATTTTACAGTCAAAAATTTCTGTCGATGTAGGCTTATGTGTCGAAGAAATACATAAAATGACACAAAATATTAAAAATCTGAGAAATGACAATACAATTGAAATATGCGTAAATGAGTGCACCAATATACTTCAAACAACTCTTGATGTTAACACAGTAAAAAATTTTAAAACAATAGGTTTTGAAATACTGGATACAATCTGTACGCAATTACAACAAAGATTCGAAGACACCCATTTACTCTCTTTCGTCAACTTACTAAACAAAAACAGTTTCGTAAATTATAATAAACAATTTCCAAAAAATCTCTTAGTTGTTCTAGATAAAGTATATCCTGAAACTTTTGATATGAGAAAATTAGAAAACGAGTTGATTGTAATTTATTCAGATGAACAAAAACATTTAGAACCTTACCATCTTTTTTCATATATTTTTGACAACGAGTTAACAGAAGTATTTTCTGAATGCTATAAGTTACTAAAATTATTTTTGACCATATGTTTGCGGAATTTAATGACTACTGAAAGACTTTCCTCATTATCCACTTTAAGCATTGAAAAGGATATGGTGCACTCAATTACTCCAGAAATGAAAGAACAAGTTATTGACTATTTTGCTAATAATAAAAATAGAAAAATTTACTTAATATATAACAAAATTTAATATAATACCTTGGATGTCGGATCACCCTAAATCTAGATCCATCCTTCGAAATTCGATGTAAAATTGAACAGGCAAGAACCTCATTTCAAAAATCCAAGTCTCTATTATCCAATAACTCATTAAATTTGGAAATCCGTGAAAAGTTTACAAGATGTTATGTGTGGTCTGTACTTTTGTATGGATGTGAAACTTGGACTTTAAACGCCGATATCATGAATAAAATCGAGGCGTTTGAGATGTGGTTGTATCGAAGGATACTAAAAATTCCATGGACTAGCAGAACCAGAAACGAAGAAGTTCTTCGAAGAATGGGACATCAACGAACTCTATTAAATATTATTAAGAGGCGTAAACTAGAATATCTTGGACATATAATCAGAGGACCAAGATATGAGTTCCTTCGGCTAATTCTCAACGGTAAAATCGAAGGAAAGAAATGGATAGGACGGAAGAAACTCTCTTGGTTGAGGAATTTGCGGCAGTGGACAGGTTTGACAGCGGACCAATTGCTACACGTAGCGCAAGACCGAGATCATTATAATAATATTATAAGCATGGTAGTCGCCGACGTTCCGTAGGGATATGGCACTCTAAACACTTGTAAGCACTTGTAAGAAGAAGAATATTTATTGTTTAGCGAATAAACATTATAGTTAAGTTTATTTTTTGTTTTAAAAAATGTCTCCATGTTTTTGTTGTGTTTACTTGTTTATGAAAATAAAATATTTAAAAAATATTCTGTTTTATTTTCCTCATTCCTGAAATAAGGATTACTCCTTTAAAATTGTCTACCCAAAATTTTTCATCAAGCTTCGCCACTGGAAACTGACAGCCGTTTCGGTTAAACGATGTATCGGTTAAAAAGGTTTCGGTTAGAGAAGGTTTTACTCATAGATAAATAATATAAATATAGTATATAGAAAGTTTTACTGTAATTGTTGGTGATGATAAGTGACTTAGTTGATTTATACAGTTGTATAATTGTATTATTGTTTACTTAATTTAGCTATATCCCTAACTTATGCCTTGCAGTTTAGTTTTTAAAATTAATAAACAATTCATAATAATATACAAATATTTCTTTAATTTAGGGCATTTATAGAAGAAAAATTGGGCACAAAATATGTAGAAAACAAGACGGTAGAATTTGAGAAGTCATATGAGGAAACTAGTCCGTCTACACCGATATTTTTTATATTATCCCCCGGAGTAAACCCTTTAAAGGACGTTGAAAACTTGGGAGAGAAGATGGGATTTACAGCAGAGAAACAAAATTTTCACAACGTCAGTTTAGGTTTGTATTTCAGTGTATGTGGTATGTTTCAATATACTTCCTAATGTATTTATTTTGTTTGTACGTGTTTTGTATAAAGTGATAATATTATTTAAAAAATATATTAAACTAGAAATGGTTTTAATTAACATACAGAATAAACATACACAAAATGAATGTATTACATAAATATTCTATTTGCTATCAATAAACTTAGTGTTTCCTAATAAAACTATAAGTATATACTAGTGGTGCAAGTGGTGCAAAGTATCCCAAGAGTAAAAGGTTAATAGGAAAATGGTTTTTAGGAAATGCCCAGACGTTATAAAAGGAAACTGGGATCTCGCAAATATGCAGACTACTCAGAAGAAGATTTGAAAGCATGTCTGTCAGCAATAAAAGATGGCATGAGTACAAGAGTTGCCGCTGAATCCTTTAACATTCCAAGGAGAACTATTTTTTACAAATTAAAAGGAGTACACGCTGGAAAACCTGGATACCCATCAATATTCTCTTATGAAGAGGAAAGGTGCTTCGTACAATGCATTCATAGCCTTAGTGATGCTGGATTTCCTGTTACTGGAATGGAATTACGACAAATAATCAAGACTCATTTAAATCGTCAAGAAAAAAATAACTCGCTTTAAGGATAATACTCCTGGTATGGATTAGGTCAAATCATTTTCAAGTCGTCATAAGGACCTTACTGCAAGGATAGCCTCAAACATAAAAAGAAGTAGAGCAGCACTCAATGCAGACCAAATGGCTGAATACATACAAAATTTAAAACAAACATTAACTGGTGTGGAGCCACATGCTATTTTTAATTATGACGAGACTAACTTAACAGATGATCCCGGACAAAAAAAGGTATTAACTAAACGTGGGGTTAAATATCCTGAACGAATTTGTAACTCTTCAAAAAGTAGCATTTCTCTTATGATGTGTGGAAATGCAGCTGGTGAGCTACTACCTCCTTATGTGGTGTACAAATCCAAGCATTTGTGGGACACCTGGACTGAAAATGGCCCCTCTGGTACGCGTTATGCAAATACTGCATCTGGTTGGTTCGAATCACAGACATTTGCAAATTGGTTTAACACTATTCTATTGCCCAGGCTTAAAAAAATTCAGGGAAAGAAGGTCGTTTTAGGAGACAATTTGTCTTCTCATATTAATGTTGAAGTCCTGGATTTGTATCGAAAACACGACATTCATTTTATATGTTTGCCTCCGAATAGCACCCACGTTACACAACCGCTAGATGTTGCATTATTTGTCCTAATGAAAAAGGCCTGGAGGGAAATTTTATCTGAATATAAGGAAACTCATGTGGAGAGTAGATCAAATGTACTTGAGAAACAGCATTTTCCAACGCTTTTACGATCATTAATCGAAAAAATACAAAAGAATAGCGATGAGATATTAAAGTCGGGATTTAGGAAATGTGGTATCGTTCCTTGTGATATAACACCGCTCTTGGAGCAGTTAAAAACAACTCAGCAATCTAGTGTGATAACTGATAGTCATACAAAAAATAATAATAAATCAAGTTCGTCAGATATCGAAAACACTTTCATTCGATATTTAGAAGATAAAAGAAAGGAAGCCACCCAGTTTAAGACACGTGGGAAGAAAAAGAAAATATATGCTCCAGCAGGACAAAGTATTGCCATTCTGAAATTAGTTTAGAAGATCTAACTGAAGCACACACTTCATCAAGCTGTTGAGCCAGAAGTCGTAGATGATTCAGAGAACGATATTGCTTTGGACGACCACTTTCCACTAGTCAGGGATTCATCAGATGATGAAATAAATGAGCTGCAAGAGATGGAAGAAGAAAGCGAATTTAATGAAAAACTCGCCTCAGGTTCTCTTGGAACAAATATTGCCAAAAAGTTAAAAACTCTGCATTAGATCATGTTAAAAAAATATTGGTGAGTACGTTTTATTTGTCATGAAGATTATGATTATGGAGTGTTTACCCTGAAGTCATAACAGCAATAGAAAATGACGGAGCGATGATCAACGCCATGTCAAAATCGTTAAAGTTTTGGAAATGGCCAGAAAGACGCGACGAAATATGGTATTCGTGAGACAATGTAATTGGCGCCATAAATCCTCCCAAGAAAATTTCCAGACGAGGATTTTACATTGTTCCAGAATGCGACAAATTGTGGTGGGATTAGATTCAAACTTTGTATTTTCACTATTGTACTTATAATAAAGTTTGTTCATTTAAAATGTAGCAATGTTCTTTCCCGTTAGGCTTCTTTCATAAATGTAGGTAGGTTTATATTCAAAAAACTGGGACGACCAACATTTTTTTGCATTTAAATGGTGCAAAGTTTAAAATCAGATAGGATTACTATGCACCAGCAAGCATTTCGTAGCCAAATATTATTAAAATATCAAGTGGTGCAAAGTATGACTCTTCTAGGGTATAATTTGCACCACTAATAAAATTAGGATAATCTCTTAATTATGCAATATAACTAAAAAACAGCTATAATAAGAGCTATATTACGACCTGTTGAATAAAACATGTACATTAGACCACATGTTCTGTTGCTGTGCTAATTTTTAATAAGTTGCTAAATGTTATTAGTTAATTGATTGTTTATACAATATTACCGTATAATGTCCATTTACTTGAGTTTACTCACATATTCGATAATATCATTGACTGCTACATGTCTTTTTAAGGTAACACTTATAACATCTTCTCCATGATTGTGTGGTTCTCATATTGTACTTTTTAGATGAACTGATGATGCTTTCAGAATACGAAAGCGAAACGTCTTCAAAATAGATAAAGTAGCCTATCAACTTTGTCCTTTATTTCTCCACCTTGAGACCGATATAAGAACCCACCACTCGTCTGAGTGATCCTTATAATATATATATATATATATATATATATATATATATATATATATATATATATATATATATATTAGGAAATACTATAGTAGAAGCTACAGTCAGAATGCAAGGCAGGTAAGATAGGTAATGTATTTTTTACGGGAGAACGGCCGACACCACGTTGCCAGTTTGCCCCGAGCGCAGCATCAGACCGGATTTAGGAATCACATCACTGGAATCCACGTGCACACAACAATTTTCTATGGTTGTATAAAAAACTATCATTATTGTTTTAACTAAAGTATCATTTAATCATCGATGTATAAATAAGAAAGTTACATTATCGAACTAAACAATGTCATGAAGAAAAATACTATATAAAAGTAAAATATATCAAAAACTCATTGTCGATAGCTTATCTATATTTATCAATTGTTAATAGTTTCCATTGTAAACATATTCTTTGGGAAAAAAGATTGCTATAAAGTCAATAGAAGAAGCCAATCAGTTTTAATCCCCATTATCCATGCAAAGCAAACATGTCTCTTTGTCGATTTGAGTACTAGCTACTAGACCAAGAAATTGTTGGCAAAAGCTATGAAAGCTAGTTTTAAAAGATTCCCTTCGGTACTAGGATTAGACTTATAGTAGAATCAAAAACCTTATTATTAACTATTTTGAGTAATAATCATTTCTAGTTTAAAAAAAATATACATATGATAACATAACAGATGATAACATCTTATTCATTATTTTCCACAAAATATCAATCGCTTCCTCTACTAGAGCCTTCTAAACCTCCAAAGATATTCCATCAGGTGTTACTGCCTGATTACACTCTTTCTCCATGTATTTAACATCCTTTCTTCCTCATATATCCTACTCATGATTTGCACGAAATATCAACCGCTTCCTCTCCTAAAGCCTTTCAAACCTCCACAGGTATCAGTTCCTACTGCCTTACCATTCTTTATCCCATCTAATGCCTCGATAACTTTATATCTCACTATCCCCGGTATTATATTTTCCTTTTGGATCTCGCTTCCTTTATCTCTCCTTTGGTGTTCTTTATTTAGCAACTTACTAAAGTACTCATACCATCTTTGCTTTATTTCAAAATTGGTTCTTAACACTCTTATATCCCTCTTAATCTACCGCACGTGGGTCAAGTACTTTGATGACTTGTCCCTTGCTTTAGCAATGCTGTATAACCTTTTCCTCCCCGGGTGTTTTCAACTCTTTATACAGCTGTGCAGACGATCGTTCCTTAGTAGTAGCTACAGCGCGCTTTAGCTACTGCATCAGTAACATACCATCAGTCGGGTAATAGTTTTGTAGACCTGATTTTTGATCTCCAGTGTGTGTTTTTAAAACAGGGCACATGTGCGAAAGAAAAATAAGCTTTGTTTTCCCTACTATTCTTCTTTGAATTTCTGGCTCTTCTCTTCCATCCGTGCTTAATACAACTCACAAATATGTGAAACTTTCTATAGTTTTAATATGTCCTCTAATTCATCTATTCGTCTGTTTACCAAAGCTCTTTTCTGCCTGTCTCTTGTCTATGATAGCTTTTTTGTCTTTTGGAAAATTGTTTGGCTGCATAGGGCAAAAAATAATAAAATTAAGAATAAATTAATTTGCTGTCTAGGTACGGCTCGTCTAGCTATGTCTAGGTATGGCTGTTTTAATATTATCAATTCATCTCTATCTAGGTCGACTTGTACTTCTTCCAATCGATGATTTGTCTTTGGTTATTTCAATAATTCTGTTTTCTATATGCTATACTACATAATATTTATGTTCCATTATTCTTTTCCATTTTTCAAGTACCTGATGAGATAGGCTTGACATATTTGTAATATTCAGATGATCAAAGATTTAAACTTATATAAAAATGTAACTAGTGAAGCCCACACTGGTCTTAAGGTCTATATTGTCGAATAGTGCTTTCATTTTGAAGAACTTACCCCTTGCTATTTCGATTCTAATTTTTACTTCATTATCAGAATCTGATTTATACTTTAGCCAGCATCTCAATTTCTTTACTCTTTCTATTTTCTGATTTACTACCTGTATTCTGACACTTAGTTTTCCAGTTACACAGATTTAATGAATAAGAAGCGAACGTTTGCTTATCATATTACTAATTCCTTTGATTTTAGTTTTTGGTTAATTATAATATCTACTTAGGGCATTATTTACAGGTCAAGGCCAAGAAGTAATTGCTGAAAATGCGATGGAAGTCGCAGCTAAAAACGGACATTGGGTAGTCTTGCAAAATATCCATCTCGTCAAAAAATGGTTGCCAGCTTTGGAAAAGAAACTTGAGCAATATGCTGAAGGATCTCATCCTGATTATAGAGTATTCGTGAGTGCTGAACCTGCAGCTAGTGCAAGTGCACATATAATCCCACAGGTATAATATCCTCAAACAATAAATACCATATCACTTTTTGCTAGTTACAGGTTGTAAATTTATTGGGATATTGAAAAAAAAAATCAATATACAAAAACGATTACTCTGATATATTTTTGAATAAATATTTTTCAGGGCATTCTAGAATCTTCAATTAAAATCACTAATGAACCACCTACGGGCATGCAGGCAAACATTCACAAAGCACTTTCAAACTTTAATCAGGAGACTCTCGAACAGTGCGGAAAGGAAGCCGAATTCAAAGTTATATTATTTTCATTGTGTTACTTTCACGCTGTGGTAGCTGAGCGAAGGAAGTTTGGTCCACAAGGATGGAACAAAATATATCCGTTTAATGTCGGTGATCTTACTATTAGTGTGTTTGTGCTCTATAATTACTTAGAGGCTAATTCCAAAGTTCCATGGGAGGACCTTAGGTATTTATTCGGAGAAATTATGTACGGAGGACATATTACAGATGACTGGGATCGACGGCTGTGTATTACATATTTGGAAGAGCTTATGCAACCTGACTTGGTAAGTTGTTTCTACCATTATATATTTTTATTATGATACGACGCCTATTGTATTCTAGATATTGTATAACTTCAAATCAACTGGAACTGTGTAACTTCAAGTTGTATTTTGTGTACTGTGTACGCTGTTTAATGCGATTGTTGGAGACTTAACAGTTTTAGTACAAGTATAATGTTCTTATTATTTTTGGAAAGTATCAAAATACACGTTTTTTTGAACTGAAAATGCGGTTAATTCCCATTCTTCGTCATCATCATTAGCCATTTTGAGTCCACTGCTGAACATAGGCCACCCGTAAATAATTCCATTGCATCCAATCTTGAGCACCTTAAATGTCGCTTGATGTCATCCGACCACCTTGTTGGAGGACCTCTTCGATTACGATAAGCATCGTGTCTAGTTTCCATTCGAAAATTTTCTTGGTCCACCTTGGTAACCCCTGTTTTTCTCCAACTATTTAATTAGAAACTCTGTCTCTGATAGATATATTCAACATTAACCTCTCCATTGCTCTCTGTGCCACTTGTATTTTATTGATTACTTTTCCGGTAAGGGCCAATGTTCTGTTCCACATCTTAAAACTGGGAGTATACATTGATCAAAGATCTTCCTTTTTAAGTACGTGGGAATATCTGATCTAAAGACTTCCCTCAATTTTCCGTAATCTATCCATGTTAGTTCTATTCTTCTGTTTAACTCTGTTGGTTGATTGTCTCTTCTCTCATTAAATCTCTTCTTCCATTAAAGATAGTATATAAATATTGTTTATTAAATATGTTTGTTATTTTTTTATCGTTTTATATATATTTTTTGTTTATTTTTTGGTAGAGTAGGGTACACCACACTACCCTTGTGTAGTGTAACGTACTGAACACTGCAAAATACACTAAGTTTATGGAGACTTCGCAAAGACGAATGCTCCTCAGGGTATCTAGCGCATACGTAACGGTTTCAAATGAGCATGGCATTAGAGCGGTGATACCGATCGTTTTGTTGTGCAAAGAGCGAGCGAGAGTGTATGCGAGGAGGATGGATGAAAATATAGATGAGAATGAGAGAAGAGCGATAGTGGAGTGGCAGAGAGAATGGGTAATTATAGCGGAAAGGCAAGTTAGACAAAGGAGCTTATTCCCGATCTGAGGCCGTGGTGGTAATGTAAGTTCAGGAAACTAGACTACTTCCTAACGCAGTTTCTGATCGGAGATGGAAGTTTTGGCACCTACATAAATAGAATAGGCAAATCTGCCTCGGCAGGCTGTACTGTTTGTGGGGTACTAGACGCTCCCGACCACATTTTTTACTACCAGAGATGGGCAAATGGGTTTCGGGCTGGATGAAAGAAACACAATAAACATAATGTTGAGAGGAGAGAAGAGAGAAGTACACTGTGTGATTTCTGGGGTGATGAAGAAGAAGGAGCAGAAGGACAAAGTAGTAAATTAAACCAGAGATCTGAAATTTATTATTCCCTCTCTGGAACGGTGGTTAAGGTTTTAGCCGAAACACGGTTAATCCGGCACTACCTTGGGGTCTTCTGGCCTAATATCCTAGTCGGCCGAAAGAAAGCAGGGTGCCAAAATTCAATAGATACCTTCTTAGACTCTTACTGGAATCTGGCAATATGGCAATTAAAAAAAAGGATGTTTATTATACTGTATTTTGTATACATGTATAGTAATGTTTAATGTGATTTTTTAAATATTAATAGTATTAACACAGCTATATGGTAGGTTCATAATCTTTCATGTTCTTCATTAGAGGATAATATTGTGGAAAGAATACTATCTTCTTCTTCTTCAAGTGCCCTGTCCGTTGCGAACGTTGGCTATTAACATGGCAATTTTGATCTTGTTTGCGGCGCTTCTGAATAGTTCGACCGATGTGAGCCCGAACCACTTCCGCAGATTTTGGAGCCACGAGTGTCTTCTCCTGCCTGGCCCTCGCTTACTGTCTATTTTTCCCTGGACAATCAATTGTAGCAGACGGTACTTATCGTGTCTCAATATGTGGCCTAGATATTCAAGCTTTCTTTGTTTAATTGTATTCACGATTTCTTTCTCCTTTCCGATTCTTTGGAGTACCTCTATGTTGGTGACATGTTCGGTCCAGGATATACGAAGAATGCGTCGGTACACCCACATTTCGAATGCTTCTAGTTTTCTCGTTAGCGTCTCCGTCAGCGTCCAGGCCTCCACGCCATACAGCAAGATCGGAAAAATGTAGCATTTAACTATACGTAGTTTTAGGGGAAGAGACAAATCCTTGCTTATGAGGAGCTTTTTCATATTGCTAAATGCTGCTCTAGCTCGTTCTATTCTCGCCTTAATTTCTATGGTCTGTTCCCATTTTGCATTTACGTTGGTGCCAAGGTACACATAAGATTCTACATGGTCAATTAATATGTTACTTATCCGTAATTGTCGAGCAGGTTGTTGCTTTTTGCTTATCAGCATCCACTTTGTCTTCTTGAAGTTGAGGCTCAGGCCGTATTCCTCACTAACTGAATAAAGTCTTTCCATTACTTGTTGTAATTCGTCTATGGTACTGGCAAGGATCACCGTGTCGTCGGCGTATCTTATATTGTTCGTTAACTCGCCGTTTATTTTAATGCCCTCATTTGCATTTTCCATACATTTGTTAAATATTTCCTCGGAATACATATTGAATAGGAGTGGGGATAATATACACCCCTGACGGACACCCCTTTTGATCTGCACGCTTTCAGTGAGTTCGTTGCCAATTTTTGCTCTTGCTGTTTGACCCCAGTATAGGTTTGCCACAATTCGAATGTCCTTGTCGTCAATACCTGTCTTTCGCAGAATACCTATCAATTGTTCATGATTGACATTGTCAAATGCTTTTCTAAAATCTACAAAGCACAGATACACGTCTTTATCAACGTCTCTACACCGTTGTATAAGCACCTGGAGAGCGAAAATTGCTTCTCTAGTTCCAAGTGCTTTCCGAAAACCAAACTGCGATCTATCAATATTTGACTCACATTTATCATATATTCTTCTGTGAATGATCTTAGTGAACGCTTTAGTGACATGATTGATCAAGCTTATGAGCCGGTAGTCATCACAAATCTGGGCATTTGGTTTCTTCGGGATTGTAATAAATGTTGACTGTAGCCAGTTCTCCGGGATTTTACCGCTATTATATATGTTGTTAAAAAGTACAACTAGATTGTCAAGGAACTGTTTGTCTGATTTACATAGGATCTTTAATATTTCGCAGGGTACATTGTCCGGACCTGCTGACTTATTGTTTTTTAGTGCTGCAATGGCATCTTCTATCTCCGATTTAAGAATTGAAGGTCCTGTTTCTCCTTCTCCATATAGGTGATCATCAGTCCTGTTAGATGCAAATAATTTTTCTATGTATGATTTCCATGTTTTTAAGATCGTTGATGGCTCCGAGATAAGATTTCCATCGCTATCTTTTATGCTGTTGGGTGACTTATTGAATTTCCTCTTGTTTGTCATCGATTTTATTTTTTTGTGCATATTGTAACTGTCGTATTTTCGTTCGTATTGTTCTATTTCCCTGCATTCGTTGGAAAACCATTTTTCTTTGGCTTCTCGAATTTTCGTTCTTATGGTTTTGTGGATCTGCTGGTATTTTTCTGCATTTTTATTCTTGAATTTACGTCTTTCATCCATCATATCCATTATCTCATCAGACATCCATTCTTTCTTTTTTCGTCGGTCTCGCTTTAATAGAGTCGCGCATGTTGTTTGGATTGCTTCCCTCGATTTATCCCATCTCTCTATTATGTCCGACGTGTTCTCGTTAATGTCCTTTATTTTCTTTCCTAGTTGTTCTCGTACTTTTATTTCGGTTTCTGGGTTAGTGAGTTTTTTAATATCGATTGTGTTTAAATTAGATCTTTTCTCGAGCCGTTTTACTCTCATGACCATTCTGCATACCAACACATTGTGGTCCGTAGGAACATCGGCACCTGGGTACGTTTTTGATGATTTTATCATGTTTTTATATCTTGTTGGTACTGCTATATAATCTATCTGATTTCTAATGATGTTGTCAGGTGAGTCAGCGGGGGATTTCCATGTGTAAAGTCGACGTTTGGGGAGCTTGAAGAGTGTATTACTTAACAGCAGGTTATATTCCTGGCAGAAGCATATAAGTCTATCACCTCTATCGTTTCTCTCCCCTAGGCCGAAGTTTCCCACGATCTCATTCACCTTGCCTTTGCCAACCTTTGCATTGAAATCTCCCATCACTATTGTTACTTCATGTTTTTTTGTCATTTTCATCAGGCTTCCAGTTGTTCGTAGAATTCTTCGCTGGTTACGAATACTATACATTTTTTTAAATAACTCTGTAAATGTTCATTGGCTATTTTCTTATGGTATTTTAAAAGTATTTACCATTTTTAATGGTACCGTTTCTATTTACCGTTTATACTTCCAGTTCGGACATATCTGTAAGGTATATTAAATATCGCCGTATGGACGAAATAAGAACCAGATAAATCTTCTCTTTATAACAACCTTTACAGTATTTTTTCATTTTATCATATGGTCCTTCTTTTTTCACCAAAGTATGAGTTTGCATCGATCTCTTGTAGTTCGTATTTGTTGTTGTTCCCTTTCGGAATCATTCTGTGACTCAATGTTGTCTTCATAACTTAAGAGCGACTTTATTACATGCTCTCTAAATTCAGTTATTTTCATCTTTTTATCGGCTAGTTGGTTGAAAATAATGTGAGAATTTACGAGGGATGTACCAAGAAGAAATTCTACAGCGAGCTTCCTGTACCATTTCAGTGACTTTCGTAGAGGTGAATTATAGCTTGCCATCTGGTCTGACTGGTCAATTGAGGACTTTGCCTCATTGTATTCCATTACAGCCTGAGGTTTATGAACAACACCACTTCGTCGCTGAATTGCTCGAGTTTCGGTAGTGTGTTTAGTAGATAGTAATAAGACATCTCTTTTATCCTTCCACTTCAAAACGCACATGCCTCTCTCGTTTTCCAACCCAAACGTTTCCCCTTTTTTCAATTTTTTATTTATTACTTCTTTTGGGTTTCCACGACGATTTGCTCTTAGCGTCCCAATATAGTAAGTTTCCTCATGCCATCCCAACCATCATTTTACCGCGACTTCCCATTTTATTTCAAGAAATATTAATTGTTTTTACTATTATCTAACTCTAAAAATAACACGAGCAGCACAATTAACTTACTTGTCTTACTAACAATCAAACCTCTACTGATAAAATATTGGTCAAAACAACCACTCAGCAGAATAATACTCGACAAGTCTCATCATGAACAGAACGACCGCCCGACCGACCGCTTGGCACCAGGGGAATAAGTATGCCGCCTACGCCCGGCGGTCGTATTCGACCGCTGACCTATTTTTTCAAAAATTGGGACTAATAAATGAAATTGGTGAAATATTAGTAATGGAAGTAGTTCAGTTGGTTGCCAGATGCACTTTTTTCAACTTGGCACCATGGACTTTTTTAAACATTTTTATGTGGCAGTCAACCTGTTAAAGCAAAAAGTGAAATCAGTATGCAAAAAGAAAAAAACAATTTATTTACAACCAAATATCAAAAGAAGGAGCCCAGAGTTGTAAAAAAATATAGAGATAAATCACCAAACGATAGAAGAAGAGTGGCCGGCCGTGCAAAAGATGGAGTGTTAACCTTGTATAAATATGTAGTTGAGCGTGGCGGCTATTTTGTGACAACTTTTACACGGGCTACGTTGAACATAATTTGAGCGGCGACGTTTCTTTTTTCAGTATTATATTCTTGCATCATTATATTACCCAATCGACTGACTAAATCTGCAAGAGAATATTATAGATATAGTATATCCAAGTTTTAATCTGTTTTTATTATTTAAGGTTGATGGAGAATTAATGTTAGCTCCAGGTTTTGCTGCGCCTCCAAATACTGATTATGTTGGTTACCATGCCTATATTGATGATATGATGCCACCAGAATCTCCTTATTTATACGGGCTACATCCTAACGCAGAAATAGGCTTCCTAACAACAACCGCCGAAAATTTATTTAAAACAGTATTTGAGATGCAGCCTAGAGACGGAGGCGCTACAGGTGGTGCTACAATCACCCGAGAAGATAAGGTAGTATAATTACAATAAGCACCGAAATTTAAAATATACTTACAACTAATTTAATCAAAGAAGAAAAAGTATTTAGGAAAATTAGACAAAGCAACGTTCTTCTTCTTCACTTCAAGGATTAGGTTTCAAACCTGTTACGTCTTCAACCTTGCCATCTTAGTGTAATCTACCTGGTATATAGTATATTGTATAATAGAATAATTGAATTCAGTCCTTATATCTTCATTTCTGAATTTGTCTCTGAATGTGAATTCTTTTATATTCCTTAAAAATTTCATTTCAGCTGACTGTATTCTTTGGCTTTTTTAATTTCGTACCGTCCATATTTCAATACCATTTTTCATAAGTTATTTATAATTATAAATTCACTTGGATAAATAAGTAAAGCACCTTTCATATGATGTATTGCCTGATCAACGCATTCGTATTTAAAAAAACATCGATGATGTTTTCCTTACGCTGACATATATTACATAATGAATAAAAATGAAACATTACAGAAGAGACGTGAAAACCGCACGTTTTCCTATTTATTCTTTAATTTAATATATTACTTTTATTTGCACCATCTTCTTCTTCAAGTGCCGTCTCCGCTACGGAGTTTGGCAATCATCATTGCTATTCGTATCTTTGAAGCGGTTGCTCTAAATAATTGGTTAGATGTGCACTGGAACCAGTCTCTTAAATTGCGCAGCCAAGATATACGTCGTCTCCCCACGCTTCGTTTGCCCTGAATCTTTCCTTGGATAATTAACTGGAGCAATCGGTACTTTTTCCCTCTCATCACATGACCAAGATATTCCAACTTTCTTCTCTTGATGGTGATCAACAGCTCCCGTTCTTTGTTCATTCTTCGAAGAACTACACTATTTGTTATTTTGTCTGTCCAAGGTATTTTCAAAATTCTTCTATATATCCACATTTCGAAGGCCTCTAGTTTATCGGTATTGCTCTTGTTTAAAGTCCAAGTATCTACTCCGTACAGTAGTATCGAAAAGATGTAGCATCTAACCAATCTCATTTTCAGGTTTAAGTTAATGTCATGACCCCTTCGATTTCGTTATTGTGAATGTACAGGTTTGCATTCAATCTTTGTTTTTTTTGAAATAATCATGAATTTCGTCTTCTTGACATTCATTGTTAACCCTTTCTCTTCACTAGCTGTGACTACCTTATTTAAAATGGCTTGCAGGTCTTCTACTGTCTCCGCCATTAAAACCGTATCATCTGCGTATCTAATATTATTAATTGGTTGGTCGTTAACTTTTATCCCAATATCTTCTTCCTCCAATGCTTTCTTCATAATTTCTTCCGAATAGATATTAAATAGCATTGGTGACAGCACACATCCTTGTCTAACTCTTTTTTAATTTGAATTTCATTTGTTGTGCTATTTTCGATGCGTGCGACTGCCTTCTGATTATAATACAGAGTAGATATTATTCTTATATCGCGAGTGTCTAACTGTTTAGCTTTCAAGATCTCTAAAAGTTGCAAAATTTGCACCATACTATGTATTAAAAACAAATAAAATAAAAGCCAAACTGTATTTATACCATCATGTACATCGTCTAAAATAATTTTAGGTTAAACAAATGGTAGATGAGATGCTAGAAAAATTACCAGAAGATTTTAACATGGCGGAAATTATGGGAAAGGTGGAGGAACGTACTCCATATGTGATAGTAGCTTTCCAAGAATGCGAAAGAATGAATTATCTCACAGCGGAAATAAAAAGATCGTTAAAAGAATTGGAGTTGGGGATAAAAGGTGAACTTACAATAACTTCAGATATGGAAGATTTAGAAAATGCTCTGTTTTTGGATCAAGTACCGCCAGTTTGGGCTCTCAGAGCATATCCATCTTTACTTGGTTTGAGTTCTTGGTTTGTTGATTTGTTACTAAGAATAAGGGAACTGGAGACATGGTCAACCGATTTTGTGGTAATTATATTGTAATAAAAGGGTTTAAAATGTCTTTTAATTTTTCTTTTTAGCTTCCAGCTTCAGTTTGGCTTGGGGGATTTTTCAATCCTCAATCTCTTCTAACGGCAATAATGCAAAGTACGGCGCGAAGAAATGAGTTGCCATTAGATAAGATGTGCCTTCAATGTGATGTAACTAAAAAACAAAAGGAAGAGTTTACGTAAGTTTTTAGGTGTATAGATGATTAGAAAGATGTCTAGATGATTAGAAAATGTTTGAAAGAGTTTATTAATATGTTTTATCCTCTTAATTTTTACAAGAAATACTAATTTAAATTTTAAAAATAAGTTACCACCTATAACAAATAAAACATTATTACAGGTTTTTTTGTTTATATACCCATTTTTATTGTTTTTGTTTCCAGGCGTTTTCTAAATGGCGTTTATAACTAGTATGATATCAGGTCTATTATGTATCACTGCATACTCTCAGGAATATATTGATAATATGAAGGAAGGTTGTTTTAAAGAAGACCCAATTTGTTGGCTTGTTCTTGGGTAAATAGTCTTTCTTACCGAGTCATGTCGGTCTTTATAATCAGTTCTGACAAAGGCCTAGCAGCCCCTAGTAACATGGTAGATGATTTCTTGGGCTTGACATCCATATCAGCATTTATCGCTTTGGGCCTGAGGTTCTTTTATGATATATTTCAGGTAATTTTTGGTTGGAATAACCTGATCCTAAATGGCGAGTAGGAAACTTCTTGTTTTGGGAAACATCTTTCTTGCTGTTAGCCAGTTGTTCGACGCTGTATTGTTTGCAGAGATTTGTCCATCCAGGTGAGATTTTTTCTTGCTTAGAAAGATGGTTTATGCACATTTCTGGTTTCCTTAGTTTAAATAGTGTTGTGTCATCTACTATGCAAATTGCGCGGTGTAAAGTAGATGTCTCAGCCTGCTTCTAAAATAAGTTCTTAAATTGGCAACCTGCTTTTCCAATAGCTCACCTATGTCCATAAACCTCATTTCCCTAGACACCGCAGTAATGTTGTTCTCTCTACTGCAATACGTGGATGATGTTTTTGTGGCTTTGTGAAAAGTGTTCTTACTTTCCGCTGAAGACTTTCTATATCCGTTTTATATCACTTTACAATATCAAATAAGTAACTAATTGCTTATTATTATTATTATAATTACTTTGGATCTTATATTGACCAGTTAATATTTTTATCTGAATTATATCTTTTTTCAAGTGTTTAGAGAGCAGATGTATAATTAAATACGTCTATTATTGCACAATTTAGGACTTTATCACATTTCGTTCGTCATCATTAGATAGCACTCGAGCCTTTCGTAAGCCTTGTCTTGTCTCAACATGTACCTTCATTCCTTCCTGTCGAGTGCATCAAGATATCTTAGTTTGTATCTTAGCTAGATATCTTGTGCTTAGAAACTTAGATAATAGGCTTTTGCCTATTACCCTATATTTACATATATTTTTTAATATATTGTTTTTGCAGTTCACCTGCCACCTTAATTGGCGGAATTCTTTTACCGCTATGTGCTTGTGGTATCTATTATTTTGTTGCATTCTTGATGTTGCTGGAATTAATTTAGTTTTACATGTAATGGCCATATATCCGATGTTTTTTGTGGCATGTTTTATTCACAGGAAGACACAATTTTCCCAATATATTTCACTTTCTGACAACCTATACTACCTTTTTCTTCTTCTTTTTCTTTTTATATAGACATGACTCCGTCTGTTTTTCAATTTGCCTCCAATAAGTTGTCAGTCCGATTTGTCTCCCTTTTTGAAGAGAGGTATTAGGATGCTTGATCTCCATTCTTGAGGAATTCTGTTTTGTTCTATTATTTTTTGAATTAGTTTTAGTAGTTGTTTGGTCAGATCTGGTCCTCCGTCCTTTAGGAGTTCGTTCGGTATTCTGTCCTCTCTGGTGATTTTCTATTTTTTAATTTTCTTAATGCTTCCTTTACCTCTTCCTCCTCAATATTTATTTCTTCGTTTGTCGTCACCTCTGGTGTTGGTGGTTCATTATCGTCACCTTTAGCAAACAGGGATCGAAAGTAGTCTACCCATGTTTCCTTCTGAATGTGTTTCGTTTTTATTAGTTCGTTCATCTCTGTTCTTTGCCCTCTGATCATTCTCCATATTTCTTTTTGTGTTCCGTAGAAATCGTGTTCCATCTGTTTTGAGAAAGTCTGCCAGTGTTCCTTTTTTATTTGTCTAACTAAAGTATTCGTTTCATTTCTGATTCGTTTATAGTAGTTGTATGCTGTTGTGTTTGTTGTGTTCTGTATTGTAAAAAGGCTTTCTTCTTTTCTTCACATTTTGTCTTCACTTCCTCTCTAAACCATGGTGTTTTCTTTTTTGATATGTTAGTGTTCGTTACTTTCCTCTCTCCAAGTGATTCTGTTGCTGCATTAATACTACTTTCGTTAATAATAATATATAAACATTAAACAATTAATATTGTTTTTAATTTTACTTTTTTTGTAAATTCTCCTTATTAGGTTCAGGTGTACCGAATAAGGCCAATAAAAATAAACCATTTTGTGTTCATCATCATCATCATCTTGGTGCTACAGAGTACTTGGTGCTTAGAGGGCCTCGACCTTCTCAAGCTTTCTACGCCATTCTGTTATGTCCCTTGGTTGAATTTTCCAGTTGCCGACTCCGATCTTCTCCGCATCTTGTGTTACCCCATCCATCCACCTCAGCTTTGGTCTACCCCGTCGTCTCATTCCCACAGGTTGCGCTGTTAGAATCTTTTTTATCATGTTCGATTCAGGGGCCCGGGCTACATGTCCTGCCCACTGCAGGCGGTTTCGCTTAATTATAGTGGTAATATCTTTACCACCAAAGTATGCTTGTAGATATTCTGCAGTTCGAAGTTATATCTACGCCTCCATATTCCGTTCTCACAGACCGCTCCAAATATCTTGCGTAGCACCTTTCTTTCAAAAATGGATAGAGCGGATTCATCTGTTTTCGTTAGCGTCCATGCCTCTGATCCGTATGTGAGAACGGGGACTATCAGTGTTCTATACAGCCTTATACGAGTTTTTTGAGACAGACGTTTGTTAGCTAAGTACTTTGATAGACCATAATAACACCTGTTTGCAATTATTATTCGCCTTTTTATTTCCTCAGATGTATTGTTATTGGGGTTAACCGATGTCCCTAGATATATGAACTCATTGACTGCTTCGAAGTTTTGGTCATTGATGATTAAATTTGTGTCAACATTTCCAGCTCTTGTGTTTGTGTTAGTCGCCATGAATTTGGTTTTATTTTGATTTATATGTAACCCCATTCGTTCTGCTGCTGCTACTAGCTCGGTTAGGATTTCCGCAGTTCTCGCCCTGGTTCTTGTTATAATGTCCACGTCGTCTGCATATGCTAGAATTTGGACTGATCTATTAAATATTGTTCCCCTGCTATCTAAATTAGCGTCTCGTACAACTTTTTCTAAGGCGACATTAAAAAGCTGACACGCCAGCGCATCTCCCTGCCTTAACCCCTATGTATTTGAAATGGGGTTGACGAGTCGTTTTGAATTTTTACTGCTGATAGCATCTTCGCCATTGTCACTTTTATCAAACATATGAGTTTTTTTGGAATTCCTAACTCATTCATAGCGTTGTAAAGACTTGGTCTTAAGACACTGTCATATGCCGCTTTAAAATCGACAAAAATATGATACATAGCTATGTTAAACTCTTGCGCTTTTTCGAGGATCTGTCGTAGTGTAAAGATCTGGTTAATGGTTGAACGTCCAGGCCTGAATCCTGCCTGATATTCCCCTAGAAACATTTCAGTATATTTCCGCCATTTTGTGTTCATTCAGGTTAAAAAGAAATACAACTGACTGCAAATGAAAGTCAAATTTATTTTACATATTTATTTTAAAAATTAAACAATATAATTTTGAATTACTTTTGAATATTTTAAAAAAAGTACATTTTTGGCAGATAAATGAGTCTTCCATTGACTGATGTGTCATGAATCGAGTAATTTAAATAATCATCACTTACAGAGCTGACATCTTGGTATTTGGAAGAACGTTCAAGAAGTAAAGTTTTGATCCATTTAGCTGAAGATTGATTCATCGGTTCTGCAGAATTACTTTGTTCACTTTGCTCACTGTTCTTCTAATTTGTGACAGTGTCTGAGTCTTGCTCATTCCATTTTTATCATTGAGATTTTCACTCGATTATACATGAAGTTACATAAGCACTCTCGGATTCACTGATGGATTGAAAGGCTAAATTCCCGTAGCTTTGAATCCGGAGATATTTCCTGGTGTCATCGCTTTAGCTCAAACTTAAATACTCGTTTCAAGACTGTGACTGTGCGTCTTATCGAGCGTTCAGGATTATTCATTCAAAAACGAAGAACCTTATCGTCCCAAAATGATTCTAAAGATTTGAGAACAGACTCATTAACAGGCTGTAGTTCATGGGTTGTATTGTTTGGCAGAAAAAACAGAGTAATGTCGTACTTTTCAGCAGTTTTAAGGATGTTTGCATCCAAATGAGACTTAATATCATAAAAAATCTACAAACTATTTTTATCTCCAACTCGAAATTGTTGAAAATGTGCGATCAAAGTTAGAGTTTAAATTAATACTCAATTACTCATGAATTGTTTTGGTTGAACCACATCTCAGTTGCAGCGAAATACGTCATCAAACAATAAATGTTTGAAATTATGTTTTAGACACTTGCGAATACATAATTTTTATTGGGTAATTAATTAATTAATATTCTAAAAATTAATTTATTTGTTATTACATCGCTTAATTTATAAAAAAATTAATATTATTCTTATTATTTAAATTTAATTGTAGGAGTGCTCCTAGAGATGGAGCCTACATTCATGGTTTACACATGGAAGGAGCTAGGTGGGACATTCAAACTGGAATTATAGTAGACTCTCGATTAAAAGAACTGTTTCCGTCTATGCCAGTCATCAACGTTAGAGCCATTACTCAAGATAAACAAGATCTAAGAAATATGTACGAATGTCCTGTATATAAGACGCGAACAAGAGGACCTACTTATGTTTGGACCTTTAATTTGAAAATTAAAGATAAACCGGCGAAGTGGACTTTAGCTGGTGTAGCACTACTATTACAGATATAAATTATGGAATGTACTATAAAGATGTCTATATTCCATATAATTTAGCACAGAATATCCTTCACTCCCATCGTTTTAACTACGTTTTTTACTAGGCAAGATCTAAGCTTTTAGCTTTAATTAATTTCTGCTATTGTATGTATTAAGTATTAAGTATACAATAGAGATTTTGCGGTCTGACATAATGGCAATATAATTTATCGATTCACTAAAAGTCAAATGATTTAATTATTAATGAAAAATAAAAATGTGAGATCGTTAAGTATTGTTGCGGTAAGATAAATATATTGTAGAACACTCAGATTTATAGATTTCCGTAGTTCTGCTTTAACCCATTAGCGCCAACTGTACTCATTTAAGTACAGCTGCTATTTTAACACATTAATGCTATATACAATAAAATAGTTGCAATTCTTAGTTATTACAGAAAACTAAGTACCCCTAAGACGACCACTTTAACAGATTTCGTTGAATGATTTCTTGTTGATTTGTTAGTTTTGATTTATTCTTTATGAAGTCAACACATGCATTTGTTTTTTATCAACTTGTCGTAAATTTACAGTGAGTTTCTCTCATTTACTTTTTTTACCATCAAATGGTTTACGTTAGTTTATAATAAGGTAATAAAGGGCTTAAGTAATTAATTTTTCATAAGTTTAATTATAACGTGATTTATTTGTTGTTAAAATTAGCTAAATAAAAACCTTCTCGCAGCAGGACTACAGGTCGCAAAGAAAACAAGGACTAAAGAAGACAAAATAAGCAATGAAACTAAACAGCTAATGACGGAAAGAAGACAACTACTAGCGCAAAACAAACGCCATACTCAAGAATATAGAGAACTTAATAAAACAATTAGAAAAGAACTAAAACGCGACATACAAAAATGGAACGAGAACTTAATAGAGCGAGTCATTGAAAACAACAGAGGCTTAAAATGTCTAAGACCCGCACTGGGAGTTCAAAAAATCATCAAAATTAAAGACGCTAACAATAAGGTAGAGAAGGACAAATATAAAATAACAAATATTGTCGAAGACTTCTACACATCCTTGTACAGCTCGCAAGGCCAGCCTAATGAAACAACAAAGGAGAACGTCAAAAGAAAAATAAAAAACGTGGGATCAGAAGTACTACCAAATATAAAGGGATACGAAATAGAAAGAGCTTTAAAAGAACTAAAAAATAATAAAGCTCCAGGACACGACGGTATAATTGCCGAGCTCTTGAAAACAAGCAAGACATTAACAATCCCTGTACTAACAGAGCTATTTAATAGATGTCTCCATAATAGCCAGATCCCTAAAGACTGGAACGAGAGTCTAGTAATACTCTTACACAAAAAAGGGGACAAATGTGATCTACAGAATTATAGACCTATATCGTTGCTCAGTCAAGTATACAAACTATTTATGAGAATTATTAATAACCGGTTAACCTACAAAATGGATAATTACCAACCGGTTGAACAGGCTGGCTTCCGCAAAGGATATAGTACATCAGACCATCTGCTGACAATGAGAACATTGATAGAGAAGGCAAATGAATACCAACTACCCGTATTTCTTGCCTTCGTCGACTATGAAAAGGCGTTTGATAGTATCGAGATGTGGGCCATAGAACAAGCTATTAATAATTGTAGAATAGACTCGAGATATAGGCAACTAATACATAATATATATGAAAATGCAACTATGATAGTACAACTAGACGAAAATACAAATCCCATCCCCATTAAGAGAGGAGTGAGACAAGGAGACGTAATATCGCCAAAGCTTTTCAACCTAGCCCTAGAAGACGTCTTCAAAACTACAAATTGGTCAACCTATGGCATTAACGTTAATGGCAACAAGTTAAACCACCTCAGATTCGCTGACGACATAGTGATTATAGCGAGCACATTCGAGGAACTGCAAATTATGTTGGGGAACTAGCAGCCAGCTCCCAATACGTCGGCCTAAAAATGAATATGAAAAAAACAAAAATAATGACAAACACAGAAGACCCCAGACATATAACTATAAACGGCAGTGAGATAGAACAAATCCAGGAATATATCTACCTAGGCCAAATCCTGAGACTTGACAAAGAGAACCAAAGTGCGGAAATTACTAGAAGAGCAAGACTAGCATGGGCAGGATTTGGAAAACTTAGTTGGATACTTAAGAACCGCAAAATACCCCAATACTTGAGGAGCAAAGTGTTCAACCAATGCATCCTTCCTATCATGACATATGGATGTCAAACCTGGACCCTAACCAAGGCAAACATGAATAAACTAGCCACAACAGAAAGAACAATGGAAAGAGCAATGTTAGGTATACGACTGTCAGATAAAAAGAGGAACGACTGGGTAAGATCCAAAACAAAAGTCGAGGACATAACAATAAAAATTGCAAAACTTAAATGGAGCTTCGCGGGCCACACTGCTAGACAGAAAGACCAACGTTGGAATACTACAATACAACATTGGAGACCTTACGAAAGTAAACGACCAAGAGGAAGACCACAGATGAGATGGGTTGATGACATTAGAAGAATAGCCGGAACAAATTGGAAATATGTTGCTCAGGATAGAGACCGATGGAAGGAGTTGGGAGAGGCCTATGTCCAAACATGGACGACAGAAGGCTAAGAAGAAGAAGAAGACAATTAGGTATACTCATAAGTGTACAATGGGCGTATAGGTATATTGTTGATATTTTACAATTTTGTTACAGATGTAGCATCTGCAGATTATTTTGAGAGTATGAGTGTTCAAAATTTCCATGGAAAGAAATACGAAGGTTTACCTTCAGCTGAGGTAGATATTGTTGTCCAATATCATTCTTAATATTTACCTAGTAGGTATTTCATTGCTTCTGTAGCAGTCGTATATTGGTATTCAATAGTTTTATAAGTGAAGCATTTATAGGTCTTGAAAATTTGTAGTCATATCGTTTTTTGCGATGATATGGTTCATTTTAAACTATTTTATATATATTTGAAAGTAGAATTTCTGTTAAATCAGAATGTTGCTTGTACGTATCAACAGTTTTTCCTCGAAGCCGAATTTCTTATGTAGATTTTTGTACATATTGAAACATACTTGGTGTGTTTCAGCATTTAAATGCTTTCGAATCTTCTTTACGAGAACTTCTTTTTTTCAGGAATTACATTCACACCAGTATTTTCACTGACACTTTCCACAAAATCAGTGTTGTTATCATACACAATATTTTCAACCACATTGTCCCACGGACTCCACTATTCAAAACAATTAAATTTTAGCAAACAATACTCTACACTTTACTAGCGAACTAATACATTGCTTTTCAAAATAATTAAATTACAGCAACCACCATTTACACTCTATTAACGAACTGCTTCCCAACTAAAACGCTCCTGGTCTGCTTCGGCACAGGCATCTGGTCGGTTGTAAAAAAAGGATCAAATGTCGCCGCATTTAAAGCATTCTACAATATAATGTTACCGTGACCATACACCGTTCGACTAAAATAAGTACTTCGTATGTGCAAGGTGTTAATTAATTATCTTATCTTAATTTGCGAACTTAAACTTTTTTTTTGAAAATGGCAAAGTTAAATATTATATAATTGATGGATTCGACCGTTACTTGATGGAAATTCATTTTATGTAACAATAAAACACTGAAAACTTTGTTTTCAAACTTCCACAAAATTTATTTTAAATATTATCACTACAGCTGTTTCGGCTGATTGCCTTTCTCAAGTGATCTATTTTGGCTTGGGTTTACAAATTTATAGTCTCTAATGAAATAGGTTGAGGAGGGGAGAACTGTTTGTCTCAAGTTGGTCATTCAGAATTATATCTGTGTTTTTTAATTTGTTGATTTCCATAGATTCTAACAAAGATAGCTTAAGGCCTTTATTTTGAATGTGAAGAATTTTAAATTTGTCATTAAAAGAATGATTATGATCTAGAAGGTGAAGTGCGTATGTCGAATCTGTTTTTCTATTCTTGAAAGCCCTTTTATGTTCTGCTATTCGTTTATCAAAGTTTCTACCAGTTTGACCGATGTAAGTTTTTGGGCAGTCGCCACATTGAAGTTTGTACACACCACTATTTAAGTGTTTTTTATTTTGGCTCTTGTTATTTTTAATATATTTGCCTAGGTTGTTATTTGTTCGGAAAGCTGGTGTTATTCCTTTCTTTTTTATGTGTTTGGCAATTTTTGTTGTTATTTTGCCTGTATATGTAATCGAGCAGAAGGTACTGGGTTTTTTCTCTGGTGGTGGAAATACTAATTTCAGGGCTTTCTTGTGTAGTTTTTGATTTAACATTTTATTAATTGTTTGTTCGTTGTATCCGTTGTTTACTGCTATTTGTTTAATTATATTTAATTCTGTCTCAAAGTTGTATTTTGACATCGGAATTTCTGTTAATCTATGTAACATACTATGATAAGCTGCCAGTTTATGTTGTGTTGGATGGGATGACGAATTGTGTATAGTCGTGTCAGTATGGGTAGGTTTATGAAATATGGAGAAGTCATGTTTGTTTTGAAGTCTGCTAATTTTTAAATCTAAAAAATTTATGGATTGATTTTGTTCTGTTTCTATTGTAAATTCAATATGACTATGAAGTGAATTAATATATGATAAAAATTGGTCGAGTTGCCTGTTAGTTCCTGTGAAACATACCAGTACGTCGTCTACGTATCTCCACCAATATAAAAACTGTTTGAATACGGGATGTTTTGAAATCTTTGTCTCTAGATGATCCATAAAAATATCTGATAACAATGGGCTTAGAGGATTACCCATTATAAGTCCTGCACTGTTATTTGTATATATTTTATTATTAAATTCAAAGTAGTCCTGGTTTATGCAAACTTCAAGAAGATGTAAAATTTCAGATGTAATTATTGGATTTGTACTATTTTGGTCTAAAAGGTTTTTTACTAGAATAAAAGTTTCTGTAGGAGGCTGTGGGTTCATATTGAAACTTTACACAAAGATCCGACAGAAAAATATCAAAAA